AAACCACGTGACCATCACCAATATTGCGATTGTCACTATAGAGTATACATTTGCCCGGCATTGTACCAAGACCATTTGAATGCACAATAACATTTTGCGACACTTGTGATGCCTGTAGAGATGTTTGTATTGGCTTAACATTAATATCCATTGGCTCTATTGCTATCACCTTGTGACCGAGTACTGACATGACCAGGGTGAACCAGCCGATGTTAGCACCAATATCTACGAAAACGGCGGGTTTCGACGGAGAATTCCCTAACAGCAACGAAATAAACTTTATCTGATGTGACATTCATGATCCAGATTTAGCGATTGAATTTGAGACAATGTCATTCGACAATAAATGTATACAAAAAGGACGAGAGGCAAGAAATGTAATGTTAATGCCTCTTCTATTACTCCAACAAGGATAGGCTTCTGTACTGAAGTGAACAGGTGTTGGTGTAGATATGACATACAGTTGTCTTGTTCTATTCATATAAATAAACCCGAAAATAAATAAAATAAGCAACAATATAAACAATATCCATCGACGAATTTGACGTGAGAAAAACTGCTTCATTGTCGGTATATATCAACAAAAAGAATATTGATGACACGATGATCCAGAATGGAGTTGAATCATGGATTGAAATGTTCTAAACAGTACTTTAACCCTTTCAATCCGGCATGTCATCTACGAGATGACATACAGAACGAAAAAAAAAATTTTGCGTTCTGTCGTCCTCTAAGACGACGAATATCATATGATCGATATCAAGAAAACACTAGTGGTCTAACTGTCACAAAGATGACAGTCATTCATTCGCTTTACTGACACATGTTCATTGGTTTTTTCATTTCTTTATTGAGATGCATTTTGATTCTCGATCATATTTACTATTTAATTTATTATTTATTGATTATTTTTACGTGAAAGTAGGTGAAATTTTTCAAAACAGTCTGGAAAACAAAAGCCTGGTTGTCCATCACAAGTTTTACATTGATAAGTAGTCATCTTTCGAATTTTATTCATGTGACAAAATATACAACGTTTCTGTTTGTGACGATTTGACTTATGGTCGACGTCAGTTTTACCTAGAAGAGATAGCAGGTACATCACAATACGAAAGTCTGAAATGTACATAAAGAAATTACTTGAAAAGTGTTGAATAATTTTTGTCGTCATTTTCGGACTACGATCAAGTGAAAGTTGTGAAATAGAACGCTTTGGTTTCTGTGGAAAATCTCTCACTGATTTTCTTGCAGCTCCTGTTTCTTCCATTGTTTCACGTACATAACTCAAAAAAATAAAATAAAATATTTATTTCACGTGAAGTCATTTCATACCTCATTAGAAAGTCGTTCAATGAAATGTTGTGTTTGACTTCTTTGTACATTATATAAGAATTGAATAAGAGTCGAATAACAAAATGTAAAGCTAATTTGACAAACCATCTGTATGTTTTTCTATCGATATACGTGTGATGAAGAACACTATCTGACAAGTCGACACCTCCCATATTTTTATTGTAGTCGATAATACTATTAGGCTTCAAAAATGATTTTTTGAGGCCACCTATAATCAAACTCTCTTGATTTCTTCAAGTGAAAGATATTCTTACCTTTTTCAAATCGTTCTACTGATGAAGTTCCAGCAACTCCTTTTGAATCGATCAAAAAAATTTCTTTTTCACCACTTGCTTTTTTATCTTGAAATCTCACTAACAGAAGTTCACCATTTCTCATGAAAGCACAATCAGGTGCTTTCATTTTTTTCGTAATCAATTCTTTTGGAACCCCTAATAATAAAATAGAATATGTTTCCATCGATACTTATAATAATTATAGGCTTTTTTTCAATTAGAAGATTATTTTGTTTTATTCAATAACTGAATAACTATTCTAATTATCGAATGGCTTCATCATCACCATCATCATCATCATCTACATCCATCAAACGTTCAATAGATAGCGTTGAAGCATCGAAAGAGAATATTTCTCCTAACAAGAGAATGCACTTGGAACAAACATCTTTTCAAACAAAAATTATAAACATGTTCAAGGATGTCGGTTTGACGGCACCTACTCAACTTTTGGGTAAGGAAATCTGAAAGTAAACAACATGAAAAATAAAATAGATAGCTTTTGTATGTGAATACACATAGCAAAAAACTTTTTCATTTCATTACAAGTAACCTGAAATAAATAGATTTGTAATGCATATAGCTATGTTTTGAAATTGATTTTATCTTACATCACACCAAGATTTGTCATTTTGTGTGACTACATTGGCAAAATATCGTTTGGCACGAAGATTTGTACATTCTGTAATGAGATTGAAGAGAGTATCAGGCAACATTCTTTTGTAAAAGTCCGATGGCAGTGGACTTATTGGAAGTGAAAACGTTGGCCCTGACAGTTCGTTGAAATCAGATAAACGTGTAGGTCTATAATCAATATCTGCTGTGACAAATGTCCATTTCTCTTCAAATACTTTTTTTGCATTTTCTGACTCTATAGTTGTTATTCTTGATGGATATATATTTTCGTCGTCACTATAACATAATGCAGTTACATATTTTATGATATATTATGTATTTTATCACCTATATTCTTCACTTTCCTCTGCTCTAGGTTCTTTCGACTCTTTTTTTTGAACAGTAAAATTTGAATTCGTATTTGTCAATGATTGTAGCATTCGATTTGTTTGAAATATTGCATCATCATCACTATAATTTATTGAAGCTTGTGAATTCTCAAACAAATTACATCATTTCTCACCTGTATTCGTCACTTTCATTGTCACACATTAGTTTCATCTCCTCGGCAATATCATCAATGTCCGAATCTTCGAGAGTATTTGTGTAATTGTCTTCCTCATTTTTTTGTTCGAGAATAGCTTCCTCATCGCATGACATTTTCAGTTATCAATTCGAAAATGATATCTCTTTTTCTGTCACAAAGTCTTTTTTTTTTCAAGATTTTTATCTTTACAAGTTCAATCTATTCATAGCACGTGTCTCATTATTTGCGACAGCCAGTTCTTTTCATTTCTTATGATTATAAATAATGATACTAAGTTTCATATACAGCTGATTGTGATGACAGAACGCAAGAGAGAGAGCTGTTCATCGAATTTTCGTGCGTGTGCAGAACGCAAGAAAATGTCAGGATTGAAAGGGATATAAGCAAAAAAAAAAGGTAAATATGTCTTACTTAATTCGACGAAGAAATCGTATGGTATCAATCCAAAATTGTTCTGTAATATCATCATGACCTGTATAATTTAATGCTTCAAGTCGATAAGTAACATGACGTGTTGATGTTAATAAATGATGTACTGTTTCAACATTTAAATTTACTGTATTACTTAAATCAAGTGCTCGACATCCATTTAATGTACCTCGATCGATTATTAAATTTAATACCTAAAAAAAATAAAAAAAAAATAAAAGAAGAATATTCTTATGAAAGATAACAAATACAATATAGAAGCAAAAGAAAAAAATCAGCATGATTACCTACCTTATCAGTAAAACCATCACAATAAGAAACTGCTAAATATGTAAGTTTTGGTACAACAGAAAAAAAATCCAATAGACCATTTTCACTTAATTCTGTTGATGAAATATCTAATTCAGAAAGTTGAGTTGATGACCAATTAACAGCAACCATTGCTTCATCTTGAATACCTATCAATATCAATTACAAGATTAATTTTATATCACAAGTAGAGTTCATCGGATGTAAAAATTTTTGAACCTGATCGAACTGCATTTTAATATTCTCAATGAAATTTTCTAATCGGAATTAGATAGTCGCTCCAAAGATACGAGATACTTTTTTCTTTCGACTTTTTGTATTTGATGATTAGCGTGCGCTGTATACAGTTTTCAGACGACTAGAGCCCAACCCAACGAGTTATAATTACAAGTGTTCAAAACAAAAAATCTAATAAAAACTCGTCTATTTCTTTGCATAACTTCGTCAAGGACATATATCGATAAGATAACACTGTTGATAATATTTTTTCTGTAAATATCAAACGTCAAGTTATTATTAATAATTTATCAATCAAAATAGAATTGTGTATACCGCCTTTGAAATGTCTATTAAACTATGTTCATTATTATTCTTACCCGTATTTTGTAATAATAAACATTGTAATTTTGTACAACGATTCATTAAATTTTTAAAACTTGTTCCACGTATTCTAATACAAAAATTTAATGCAAGACATTGAAGATGCATACAACCAGATGCAATTAGTTCAATATGATTATCATCAATAAAACCAATACCATATAAATTAATAACACGTAAATTTGGTGCATGTGTTTTTATTTTACTTATATTTATTGTTTCAAATGTATCAGCTTCTTCTGATGATGATATTGAAGTTTTTTCTATTGTACCAATAATATGTAATGTGTTTAATGAAGATATATATCCATAAATTCGACGCATAAAAGCTTCAAGAAAAATAACTTCAGATAAACAAATACATAAACGTTTAAGATTACATGGAAATTCATTCAATTCACTAAAATCATGTAATTGCATTGCTGATGAAAAATCAAGTGTTAAATATTCTAAATTAGGACAATGTAATGCTAATACACGTAAAATTTCAACTGTAACTAATTCAACAGGTAAATCAATATAAATAAGTGATGATGCACAACGTGTACCAAGCATAGAAATAAATTTATCAATATGTCGAACATGAACTGCACCAATATGACCATTTGTACAATCAGGACGTAAAAAAAGACGACGCCATAATTGTTGATGATGTGAAACAAGTAGATACCGACGATAACATACGACTTTATTTGGTTGAAAATAATTGAAAAATGATGAATTTATATGTTGTAGTCTGTTTCGTTTTTACTTATCTTTTTACGATCGACCATAGATAGAAAAAAGAAAGAATTTAAAGTTATAAATAGACGTATATAATGATGTAATCGAAAGAAAAAGCAAGATTAATAGTTTGAGAAAAAATTAAATACAGATTAAGTTTTTCTTCGATCTATAAGATCTTTTAAACGTTTATCAATATAATTATCAAGTTGTATATATTGTTTATCTCGATATTCGTCGAAATGAAATACTTTTTCAGCTTTTGATATTTGTAAATCACGCCATTTTAAATATTCAGCCCAAACTAAATAATCAAACCATTGTTGAAATTCTTTTGGAATAAGTATTCGTTCATCAGATATTGTATCATTAATTCTCGATTGACGACGATAACGTTTCATACGACATTGAGATTGTGTTGATTCAAAAAATATTCGTATATCGAACATATTTGTTAATTCATCAGATAAAGCAAATAATAGAAAACCTTCAACTATAACAAATATATATTGATTATCTTTGATCGAAATATCATTTCGATGATATCGAGTTATTTTTTCTGGTTCATATTTTATCTGTCGTATTAAATTTACTAAAGATTGAATATGTAAAGTATCAGGTTCTTCATCACTTTGAATACGTCCTAGGATAGGATGATTAATTGTAATCGAACGAATATAAAAATGATCTAATTCAATAAGATGTAATGGTGAATGAAGATATTCAACTAAATGTTTAGCATAAGTTGTTTTACCACAACCCGATGGACCAGCAATACCAATAAAAATAACTTGAGGATGATTTGAAGTAGTTGTCATTGTTTTTAATATGAACTTAAACGTTGGCTTTATTTATTCTAAACAAAATATCATTTATAATTATCTTACTGACTTATGTAGAATGATTCAATGAAATATTTTGTATTTTTATCGACATCAAAAAAAAATCTAATAACGTTCTCTTACATGTGCCATGTGACATTCGACAGTGAGTGAAAGAAAAACAATATTTGCCGAATGTTTTTGTGTAACGTGTGGCTATATAAAATACGAGCATAAATAACGTAGCTCACAAGTCGTGATAGAAAATTGAGTTTACATGTCTTCTTTTTTATTCTGATTATCTTTAATCATGTTTACAATGAAAAGATGTAGAATTAGAATGTATTTATTATGGAATTTTTGCAAAATATCGAATTATTTCTTTGATAAAAATTGTTGTCAACAAGTCACTTGATCTTTGATTTAATGATTAATGTACAAACAACTCATACACATCTATCCTGTGTTGAATATCTTTTAGACGACGATATCATCATCAATAATTTAACAAATCTCTTGGAATAGTTTGTCCATTGTCGATGTCAAAGATCATCAAATGAATGTTTTACTGTTGATGACTTTCATCTCGTTCTATCGACTAATTATTTATTATTATATTGTGATGCATATTAACTATCAGAAAAGGACCTACGTAATGTTAGTTCAGTAGAGATTCTCATTTATAATGAATAAAGCATACATATACAATATTCTATGCAATACTTTCTATGTAATTATAGTATGACTGATTTTGATAATTTAATTGACTCTTATATCATCAGAGTCAAGAAAGTCATGTGAAAATCATTATATTATAGACAGCCAAAAACTGAAGTGACTGAAGAATCAGCTAAAAATCGTCAAAGCAAGTGTATGTCTTTTACCAGATTTCGAAAATCATCTAGAACTAGTGACTGAATGAACGCAAAATATTGAAGAGTATCACATTTTATCAATAAAAAAAAAAAAGAAAACTAACTTTCAAAATTTTTTATAATTATCCAATGAGCCTAGCACAAGATGATCGAGAACAGCAGGAAAGTATTATATGTTAGCTTTTCATCGTTAAGTGAACAATAATAAATAATAGAAAACAAAAAAACAAATATATATTCAATCTAAAATGTCCAAGAAGACATATCGAAGATGATCGCTATCACAATGATCATGCACAGCAATTTACAAAATCTCTTTAGAAAATTGTGAACAGCAAAATACACTTTATTTGTGATGTAATGATAATACTGCAACAAAGATCATATACAAATTAATAGAAATAGAAAGCAAAGATTTATAAAAATGTGGATGAGGGGTGAAGGTATGGATGTTGATACACTTTCCTTTCACACTCACACCCTCATATAAAGAAATTCCAAGGAGACAACTGTTGAGACATCATTTTATGGCTTTTTTTGTCTGATATTTAATCGATGTCGATTAGAAAAATACGACTTGGATAAAAATTAATATGATATTCTGAATCTGTATTCAAAACTGAGTGGATTTACGTGTATATCAAAAAATTCACCTCAGATCCTCTCAAGGTTACAGGAAAAAATGAATTTCATGAAAACTCTATTTTTATTGTTTATTCATCTATTGATTGAAATTCTACTATCATTTTATAGCCGTAGAACTTGATTTTCATTGTCAAAATAACTTTTCGATGAAATTCATTTTTTGACCTAATCCTACGAGAACCAGAAGCGAACATTCGAGGCAAAAATTTTTGAAATACACGTAAGTTTCTCAGTTTTGGATGTTGATTCAGAATATCATATTAGTTCTTATCCAAATTATATTTTTCTAATCGAAATCAGCTAAGTATAAAGAATAAAAGTCATAAAATCATGTCTCGACAGTTATCTCCTTGGTGTTTTTTCTTTGTGTGGCCGGTGGTTTTTTTTTGTCTATTCACAGACCAACCGCTTACATAGAGTTATTCAACAAAATGAAAATTCATACTTGACTTGAAAATATTTGTAGGTAACACATTTGTCTATTTTCTTTTTTTTTGACTTATTTAATTCTGCATCATCATTCAACAATGTTCGCCATAGTTTTTGTGACTGTTCTTGTTCTAATTGCCACGAAAACGACATCATCTACAAATAGAGATCCGATATCATTTGGATCTGAACGATTAAATGATTTTTTCTTTGTTAAAAATGGTACTGTATTTCATCAATTTGTATGTATAACTTAACTTGTTATCTCTTTACAATCACAAATATATTTTACATATGTTACATAGAACCATGGTGCATATGGCGGTACACCAAAAGCTCTTTTTGAATCCCAATATAAATATGTTGAACAAATGGAATCATCGATTGTAAGTGAAACTGAATATTTCTATCCTAATCAAGATTTATGCTGTTCATTTTTATTTTTAAATATTTAGCGTGATTGGATGAATGGTGCAACAGGATATCGTCAATGTATGACATTAGCAAAACAACGTTTAGCAGAAATGATGGATATAGCAATTCAATGGCCAGTCACTGGTCCAGAATCATTTATTAATCCAATAACTGTTGCATTAGAAGCTAATGCTTCTACAATAAATATTCGTATTGCCATATTTAGTCATATTTCTGCATGTCCATCAGTAATATTATCTGTGAAGGAATTAGTAGAATTATTTCATCAATATAATATTTCAGTAATTGCCGATGGAGCACATGCACTTGGAAATATTGAAATTAATATTGAAGATATGTCAAATGTTGATTACTATTATACAAATACACATAAATAGTTATATTCAAGTAAAAGTAGTGTTATACTTTATGTTCGACATGATCATCAACGTTTATATGTACCTGCACCAGCTATTGTTGATTCAGCAATGGTTGAAGATTTTGAATCAAGATTTATATGGACAGGTACACGTGATCGAACACCATATTGTGCTATTTTATCAGCATTAGATTATCGACAATCATTAGGTGGTAAAGAACGTATTAAGAATTATAATCATGATTTAGCACAATATGGTGGTCGATATTTATCACGTTTACGGAAAACAAAAATATTATCACCAGAGAATATGTAAAGTTCTATGACAAATGTACAAGTACCAACAAATAATTTTACACAATGTCAAATTATTGTTGGTCAATTGTATAATACATACAATACCATGGTTAGTGGAGCAAGTAATATTATTCCTGAATTTGGTAATATTCCATATTATTTACGATTATCAGCACAGATTTATCAAGAAAAAAAATGATTGGCATGTATTAAGTGCATTGGTATTGAACTTATTAAAAGAACTTATTGAAATTGTAATA